AATGTAAACTTAATGAAAATGTTAAAAAATAATATAAAATTATTTTAGAAATGCAAGAAGGTATTAATTTAGGATTTTTCTTATTTAATTTAAGCACATACTTTTGTACACAGTCCAAAAGTTGCTCTTTTTTGATTGGAAATCCTTGTTCGCAGCAAAAGAAAATCCATTGTATGACATAATTTTCTTCTTCTTCAGATAAGATAGAAGGTGGTCCATATCTAGCATTCACAGGATATTTATTATGAATCTTCGAATGTAAAGTGCTTTTTGGAATACCAAATTGATGTGACACAGATGTCAATGATGTGCCACTTTTTATTAATTGGATTGCCTGGTCCACATCTTTCTGTGTGTATATTTTCAATTTTTCCTCTTTTGGCATTTTGAAATTAATTCTACAAAAAGCACAATAATTTTTACATGCTTACTGAAACTATTTACAAAGAAAATACTACGTACAGGTTAGAAAAGCAGTTTTCTATGAATATGAGCAAATAATAAGTTGCCCATAAAAGATACATTCGTCTTAATAAATAAATTTATAACTATGTTAAATAACAATTTAATAAATGTAAGTTAAGGGGTAACACCACTGTAACGGCCTAAAAAATTGCACTTTTTCGACATTTTTTTTATAATGGAAGGAAATGAAATAAAGTATTAATATTCCGTGAAGTTAATAAGCATATATTGAAGTACTTGTAAAAATTTTTTCATAAAAAAATATTACAAAATGGCGAAATGGCAGCCATATTCCCGATGCGCCTTTAAAATAAAGGGGTCCGCGGCAAGCAGTGTAGCCGTTGGAAATTTGAACCTAGAACAAATAAAAAAATTCCTCATGATCTTCAATGGTATATCTAGTACAATACGTAGGGGATTTTAGAAATATTGATTTTTGAGTGATTGGCGAGCATTTGAATAAAGTCGTTCATTTTTCGATAAAAAAAAGTGACATTATTTGGCAATAAAAAATGTTTAAAGCAACGTATCGAAAATCCCGTACGTATTGTACTTCGAAATGTTGTTTTGAATGTACAGTAAAAAATTCGAGTGAAAATATTAAAAATTGTTTGAGTTATACTGCTTGCCGCGTTGAAAAAACGTGTTTCGAGAAAAACGCGTTTAAAGATTGGAGTTGTATTCCATCATTAAAGACGCATGTAGCGATATCCGCCGCTACATTTAGGACTGTCTTGCCGCTTGAATACGATTTAGGAGCCAAATTCCACACTGTCGCATTAAAGTGTGTCACATAACTTAGAAGTCAATAAGCAAGGTATTACGCACTACTCTCTCGACAGGTATCCACCCGGCGCAGGTAGCCGTTTCGGAGTCGCCCGACTCGTTCGGTACACAGCTCGGAATTTCAATGAAAAAAATTAGTTTCACGTATAAAAGTTTTTTCCTCGTATTCTACAGGGTTCAAAGGATTTTTAAAGCCCCAAAAAAAAAATTTATTTTTAAAAAATTTTACAGTGGTGTTACTCCTTAATGATAATACTTACGATTGTCCAGTTCAGTAAGGGCCTGCACAATAGGGGAACAAGAATTAGATATTAAGATTTCAACTTATCAGAAACCGTGTATTCCGATGTAATCAGTTTCTGATAGATTAAAATCTTAATATCTAATTCCTGTTTCTCTATTGTGCTCAGGCCCTAAGGCCCTGCGCACAATGGAGGAAATATTAGGAACAGGAATAGATATTAAGATTTTAACCTATCAGATACCAGTTACACCGGAATATACGGTTTCTGATAGGTTGAAATCTTAATATCTATTCCTGTTCCTAATACTTCCTCCATTGTGCGCAGGGCTTAACACTCTATCATGTCACGTCATGTGTACGTTCAGCAATAGGCACAACGAATCAAAGTGACATGTACCAATACTACCAATAACGGAACGCGCGTTCAGTTATCAGACTCCTACCAATTGTACGTACCTATTTATGAACGTCTTAATATTTAATAAAAAATAAAATTTTTTTGCAATTTCTTTTAATAGATTTTATTCATTAGATATTTCTAATGTTCAAAATGTAGGTTATACCTAAATTATACAGTAAATTATATGTAAATTTGCCTATGATTTAATATGACGTTTCTAACCAAAATGATTAAGAATCTATTCAGGGTACCTATCATGAAATATGTCGGAATGGATTCCGATCGGAATTATTTCGTTTCCTCCAGGGCACCTATTATGGAAATTTGTCGATTCCGACTGGCGAGTTTCCAACCGCGATTCCGTTCATCCGCTTTTTGCTATTATGGATGCCGAGCGGAATCAGCTTTCCGACCATTTTTCTAGCTACGGAATGAACATTAGTGAAACGAGAGGAACAGATGGAATGGATTTTGACGACCAATCACAGTATAAGTCTATAAGAAAAATAACTAGATTCAAAAGATCATGCTTGGTTAGGACGGACATGCGAGTTTTGAAGAAAACTAATTGAGTCGGAAGCAGAAGAAGAAGAAGAAAATATTGGCAGGATGACAGATAATGTAAGTCATATATTGATTTTACATTCAAATTGTTCTAATCATACAACAAAATATTACTATTTTATGGCTGCGTTTAGAAAGCATGTTATCAATTACTATCAAAACTATTGTGCCATTTTGTCTTTATTTACGTGTTAATTACATGTTAAAACAAGGGTAAATTGTACGATAGCACTGATAGCACGCTCCTCAAACACAATCATAGAATAACTTCCCTGACGTCGATTCGACATCGATTCGATGTCGATTCCATTATCATTTCTGGGATATAATTTTTAATCAACAGAAAAGAAAAAAGACGACAGCAGAGCAACGGCTGCTAATGTTGCAGTTTCTAGAAGATCATCCCGATCTAGCACTGCCCTGAGCATAAAAGTTTAGGGCACACAGTATCTGTTTGAATGAATAAAAATCATACATGTATAATACAATATTTTATTAATTAATAATATCAAAACTATTTACATATTTTTTTTACCTTTAATTCATTTGGAATTGCCAAAGCACTCTTTTTTATTGGAAGATGTGGTTCTAATTCTTCTATGAGAGCTCTAGTCATATTTCTGGTTAATCGATACATGCCCACGAACTGAGTTTCGGGCAAATCAAAAGGATCAAGCATATCCCTTATTGTCCGTCTCATTATTTTGCTTGCCCGAATTTCTGCAAGACGTCGCCTTTGTCTCTCGTGACGCATTACTAGTAACTATAATATCAAAAAAGAAAATAAGTAATAAATATGTAGAATAAATATATAGTTATAAACGTATAATAAAAATATATTACTATTATGATTAAGATATACAAGGAAATTCAACTAAAGTAATAAATATTTTCTCAATTTTTTTCTGGAAATAAACGTTTCTTCTAAAATTATTTTACACAAGAATTATTTTGTGTTTCAAGAAAAAATAAGAGATCATACTACTTTTGAGGCTTCCATACAAACCAAGACACATTTTTTATTTTTTTCAGTCAAATAACTTTTATTTAAAACATTTTCTTAGAAAACGATTACTTTCACAAAAAAATTCGTTGTTACTTCACACAAATCGTTTTATACGTATCTATATGAATATAAAATTAAAAATATTTTCAGACGTACCATTATCACAATTTATGATAACATAACCCATATGGACAGTATATGGCTGTGACCCGTGACTAACAAGTATCTCTATTGGTTCTCATTATTCCATTCCGATCGGAATCGACATTTCGACAGCTCGCGAGGTGACGGAAACTTTCCGATCGATTCGGAAACATTCGGCTGTCCATAATAACTTATCTAGGAATATCTAGGGAAAAACGGAATAATTCCGATCGGAATCCATTCCGAACATTTCCATAATGGGTGCCCAGAGTATCTATTATGGAAATAATCGGAATGGATTCCGATCGGAATTATTCAATTATTCCCTAGATTTCTATTGTGTTTTCTGGGG